TTGAATGCCTTAAGAATACGAGACGCATTATGGCGCTTATTCTTCGCAGTGACACGCCTAAACTTGTGATTCTTGGACTAGACGCATCGCAATGCATTACGCATTTTAGAACATTGCTATTAAATGATGCTGTTCTCAGAAGTAGGAGTGAGTTCTTGCTTCTTGGTACCTAGGAATGGGATCTCATGGCCCACAATCATGTTCGCTTTGCTAATACTGACCTAGCATCTATTAATGAGTTGATTGTATTCCATCTTTCATCTCATTTATAGTTAGGGACGATCTACATTCTTAATAACATTTGAGTTTTCCTAAAAAAAAAAAAAAGAATTGAGCTTAGAGCGGCTTGAAAGTATCACATCATTGTGCCCTTAGAAGAAAATGAAGTTACAGTTACAGTTGCAAAAATGTCATTTTTTGGGAATATCTAGTGATTATTTCTGAATGTAATGGTTCATTTATTCCCTCATAATGGCTTTTATCGACTCGCAGGAAGCAAATGTGTCAAGGCCATTGCGAAGAAGGAAAAGGCTGAGGTTTATTGTGCATTGTCAAGATCCAATAGGTATAATTTCTTGATTATTATTTTCGGACGCCACTGATGCAGGCAGAAGATTTTCGATCATCTCAAGGATTCTAATTCTTAAATTCCTTGAGAAGACTTATGGTGTTCAAAACCAGAAGCGTAATTATTTTATATGCCTAGAGTGATCATTGAACAGATTTCTAGTTCTTGATTTGCATATCATTATTCTGTATCTGGTACTACTGAAAGAAAGCGAAATAACGAAGCCATACAAGTTCTAGAAATGCCATTTCTTTAATACGTACTTCTACATGACATGTACTAATTTCTAAAACCGCTCCCCCCTTCACTGATGCAAAATATCATACCTGTTAGGGAATTATTGAGAGCAATTACCCAAGGCCCAAGCCCACTCCACCAGACCCAAGTGAGGTTCCATTCCAAAACCAATTGGTAAGGGAAAAAATTATAGCTCAGGTATAATCTATTCCAAATTTAAAATTCAGGTCCCAAAGTTTAAAATTGTAAAAATCAGGTTTTTTTGAATTAATTAATTATATTTTAGAATTATTATATTAAATTAAACATTTAACTGTAGTATAATAAAATTAACCCACCCCACCCCACCCCACCCCGCCTCCACCACCCCCATTGCTCCGGCTACTACTCCGGTGACCGGCGACCACTCCGGTGACCGGCGACCACTCCGGCCTCCGGTGATCGGTGACCACTCCGGCGACTTTTTCGAGGTCACAGATCAAAAAAATTGCAGGTCACGGATTATTTAGAGGTCACAGATAAAAAATTTTGTAGATCGCAGAATATTTCGAGGTCACAGATTAATTCGAGGTCACAGATCGAAAAAATTAAGGTCACATATCAATACTGATAAAAAAATTACAGGTCACAGTTAAATTCGTAGGTCACAAATCAAGAATTTTAAGGTCACATGTAATTTTTCATAGGTCACAGATTAAAAAATTCAAAACTTGTACGGGTCACAGCTCTATTTCAGGGAGTCACAATCCCAATTTCTAGGTCACGGACACCCACCTATGTCACAGATTGAAGAAATTCAGTGAGTCACAGTCACCATTCCTAGCTCACAAACACCCGCGACCGATTCAGCGAGTCACAGTTACCAATCCTAGGTCACAGACACCCGCGACCGCTGCCAACCACCATCAAAATATTACATCCACGTAACAACCACCGCCAACACGACCACCGCCAACAAAATCACTGCACGACCACCGCAAAACAAACATCCAAAATCTGCACAATCATCACAACCACCAAAATCTGCACAATCACCACCACCCCGTTTACAAAACACCAACCACCAAAACTCACCTCCACCACCGCATCCACCATCGCCAACAAGGCAACAACCCCAACCACCGCACGCACAGCAGGTCAACACCATTAATTATACTACTGCAACAAATTGATTCAATAGTAGATGTAGAAAATGCCAACTTACCTACTGATCGTTCCTCAATATTGGCCATTTTCATACAAATTTGGGAAGGGCAACGCAGCGACTGAGAGCTTCTGCAGGCAGAGAACCAGCAGCAGCGACCCTGCTGCATGTCGTAGCGCAGAGAACGTGCAGCAGCGTCTCTGCGCTGCGACGTGCAGCAGCGTAAGACGCTGCTGCGACCCAGCAGCAGCAGCGTCGCTGCTGCGAATCGCAGCGCTCTGCGACGTGCAGCAGCGTCGCTGCTGTGACCCAGTCGCTACTGCGCCGCTGCCGGGGGAGGGTAAGGTGAGGGAAGGGAAGGGGAGAGGGAGAGGGAGAGGGGGAGATGGCAGGGAATGGGGAGAGGGAAATGAAGCGGGGGAGAGGGAATAGGGTTTGGGAATTGGGGGTGGGTATATTTATTTTAATTTAAAATATTATTATTAATAATAATCGCGAAATTAAAACCTGATTATTGATTAAATAACCTATAAACCTGATTTTTAAAAACATCAAACTAAACACCTGGTTTAGTCTAATTTTCCCAATTGGTAATGGGTGGAGTAGCCCACTTGGGTTATATGGTGGATTTATTTTCTTCCCACAACTGATGTGTGATTTGTTTGCCCCAATAATCCCTCCCTTAAACAAGGCTCACGAGGTAAATCACCACTCATCGAGATAATCCATCTAGCCTGCACCCACTACGTTACCATGGATCCACCATCTCATGAGAATTTTCCACCACTTCGATTTATCTAGCCACACAACCTGGGCTCTGATACCACTGTTAGGGAATTATTGAGAGCAATTATCCAAAGCCCAAGCTCACTCCACCAGGCCCAAGTGAGGTTCCATCCCAAAACCAATTGGTAATGGATGGAGTAGCCCACTTGGGTTATATGGTGGATTTATTTTCTTTCCACAACCGATGTGGAACTTGTTTGCCCCAACAATACCTATACGGTTGGTTTGGCTATTAGATTATACATAGTTGTCAAGTGATGATGGTGGCTACGATTTTCAAGAAGCAGGACTAAAAAAGAGAAGATGGGACATTTGCCTTTTGGAGTGTGACAAACTATACTTTCATTGTGTTCCGTTTTCTGCTGTTTTACACCCAGTCAGTTTATTCAGTTTTTGTTTCCTTATTTTTCGTAGATTTTTGTGCCGATCCACAAAGAAAACTATTGGTCGACAAGAAGGATAAAAAGCTCCAGTATCTTGATTCACTCTAAGGAGTCCGTACTGAAGTAATGGAAGTACAGGTACGTTTTCTTTTCTGTTAAGTTGGTCGAAGATATTTTTGTTCGGTGTTTTGTAGTGTGATTCATATGTATTCAAATTCAGGCTAGATACTTCGTTGATGAAGTTAAGGATAAGACTGGGAAGGACATTGATGTCAATTAATGGGATAGGGCATTTTTGGAAGACCTCAAGGTGCAGGAAAATTGGTACGTTGGTGTGAAAATTGGTGAGATGGAGTTTTTAAGGTTCTCAACGGTATTAATGAAGAAACGATGTTAAAATCTTGTGTATTATACTGATTAGTCTTGTAATGTACCAATTGTGCTCTTCATGTTCGTATTTTAGGCGGAGGATGGTGAAGGTGATATTAAGGTTGAAACCTAACCGAGGGAGTAGGGACGACAAACTTAATTGATCAATGTCATGCAGTAATTTTTATTTCTTAAGAGCTGAAATGAGAGCACATAGCATCAATGGAAGAAACATTTAGAAGTGATATATTATTCCTCAAAACAGTGGGATGGCTTCTATAATTCTGCAGTTGCTGGCACATAGTAATGGCAAGAAAATATGTTCTCTGAAAGGCAGTGAAGCATATTCTGAAATACAGGAATATTGAATTTGGTCCTTTGTGTTGCCCCCAACCTACAACAGCGGTTATGGTCATCATTATATTCATATTTAGCATGGATGATTGAATAGTTGTCTAAGATGAAAAAGAAGTTAAAATATTATTTATTATAGGCTGCCAAATAGAAATCTTCTTCACCCTATATTTTATCAAAGGAATTTTTTCTAACTAACTATTATATATATATATATATATATATTATTTATTNTAACTAACTATTATATAGATATATATATATATATTATTTATTTATTTATTTATTTATTTTTTTGGCTAAAATGAGATGTCTCCTGCCAAATTTTTATTAAGGGTAAATATATTAACACTACAATTTTTATTAACAACACCCTTTATAATCACAATATAGATCATGCAAAATGATTGTATGTCTTCTAGGCAATCTAATAAGTAAAATTGCCAAGGAAGACTAAAGTAACTAAATAGACTCGAATTTTTTGTCAACTTTATCTAGTCATTGTTTGGACCCCATTTTGGAGAATTTATAAATTTTGTAATAATGATTGATGGGAGAATGTTTGGTTCAAAAATAATGAAGTGTTTTAGATTTGTGTGTAATATTATTTTATTTGGAGAATGTGTGGTTAAAATTAAGAAATACATTTTTTTTTACAAATTTTAATGGGGGCCAAACAAGGGGCTAATTTCGTGAGAGTACCTAGGTTCTTTGAAATCGGGAAAAGGAAAAAAAGGAAAGAATGAGAATGTCTATATGAAACAAAATTTCTCTTAAACTTTGTTTAATTTGACGAAAATGCCTACATGTGTCAAAATTTGTGCAAAAAAGGGATTTGGGAACAGTTTTGACAAGAGAGTGGTATATTTGTCAAAAGAATTCAAAAGTTGGACTTCATTGAAAAACATAAAAACAGTAAATATAAGGCCATGTTTGATTGCAACGAATTTTATGAAAAATATCATATTCGAGGAATACGAATTCTACTTTTGCCGTTTAATTACAACGTGGAAATGAAAATCGAAGTCCAATGTACAATCACTTTAAACTGCATTTTCTTTATTTTTATGGAAAACGAATTTCTATGGATTTGGTGGGTTTTATTTTCCAACTAACATAGAATCGTGATTCATTTCTACATTTGTCTATCAAACGGACCCTAAAAGTAATTGTATTCCTACCACAATAGTTTACTGCAAAACATTTCAATTGCAATGAAGATCATCAACCTTTATTCATGATTGCACTTATATCTCAACTTTTTTGTTGTTGTTGTTGTTTTATTTTTATTGTCAACCTTCCATTGATTAACACATACACTCTCTGATGTCGGTTTTTTTCCAATAAATATGTTAGGATGGCATATAAAAGGTTTATTTGTCCACCATATTTTAAAATAGGAAAAAATAACAAATATAAAAGTTTTGTACAATATTTGCCCTTTCTTTCAAAGCACGCTTACAGAATATTTGGATGGAAACGTTATCAATAACAAGATGTACTGATCAATTAAAGATTAAGGATAATAGTGTGACGAAAAGGAGTGGGGGACAAAAATGGAACAATAAGAAAAGGTTGTACCTTCATTATAATTAAAATGTTGTGCAACAACCAAAAAATGTGGCATGAATTTAATTACCCTTCAAACTATTCATTTTCTCACTCTGAAAGTGTCCTATGGAGGAAATTAGGGATGAACACAGTTTGATCCCGATGATTTTTGAATCAAATCATTTTAAATTGTTTGAAAAAATTCAAAACCAAACCTAACTATTTTATTTTCCAAACTAAACCATTTTGTGGTTTTATTTGGTTTCAAACTAATATATATATATATATATATATATACAGAAATGATCTAATGAGCACCGGTGCTCATCTTATCCTAAGCACCGATGAGT